TAGATAGATAGATAGATAGATAGATAGATAGATAGATAGATAGATAGATAGATATAGATGTCATATAGATATATAGATATATATGATATACTGATTAAGAAGTTGCTGGAAATGGGCCTCTCCTCTCATAACTGCTATTGAACTTTCTTTCCAAACTGTTAAGATTGGCAGCTATTTCTCCTCCACTCTTGCTCTCAGCACTGGCTCTCCACAGGGCTGTGTGCTCAGCCCCCGTTTGTATTCATTCTACACCTCCGACTGCACTCCCTCTTGTCCCACTAACTCTATAATAAGATTTGCAGACGACACCACGTTGGCGGGACTCATATCAGGAGGAGACGAGACGGTCTATAGGTCAGAGGTTCTCAGACTGGTCTTGTGGTGCAAGAGTCATAACCTCACCCTGAACATCAAAAAGACCAAAAAATTGATTGTAGACTTCAGAAGATGCAAAGCAGAGCCTCCCCATATATATCAATGGAGATTGTGTGGAAATAGTTCATAGTTTTAAATTTCTAGGAACTCATATTTCCAACAACCTTACCTGGTCGTCCACACTATGGCCACTGGAAAGAAGGCCCAACAATGCCTCATTTTCTGAGGCTGCTGAAAAAGAGTGGTCTGGGTGAGAAGTTGCTGGTTACTTTTTACTGTTCTACCATCGAGAGCATTTTGGCATACTTTGTAACGGTGTGGTATGCTGGATGCTCTGTAGTGGATAAGAAGATGCTCCAGAGCAGCAGTCGCCAACCGGTGGGCTGCAGCCCACTGGTGGGCCGTGAGAAAATTTTGATGGGCCGCAGAGAAATCTCACCCCCAGAGGAACCCCATAAAGCAATTAATCCAGTCTGTGCAGAAACACAAGGCTGCGCCGCCCACATGGCCCACGGTAACCCTCCCCGCCCACTCACTCCTTATCTGGTAAACTTGCCTGCTAAATTGCTATTTTTCCGACCATCATCTGTTCTGCTATGCTGGGAGATTTAGATTAGCTAGGAAGCAGGAAATGGTTGGATTTCTTGCTTTCTAGCTCGTCTTTAGATCTTCGGCTCAACACAGCCAAACCTCCCTTAGGACTGAAGGTTTGCTTGCAAGCAAATTCAGTGCAGACTCACGGCAAGCAAATTTGAGAGACTGAGCTAGCCGATGGCAGAGAGATAGATCACTGAATGATTCTGTGAGCAACTCAGTCTGCCGGCTTTGCCTGATTTTGGATAAAAGTTGTTTTTTATAAAAAAAAATCAATATTTACATGCATGGTGTGTTGTGAGTTAATTTTGTGAGTTTGCTTGCAAGCAAATTGTATGTGACAGACTGAGCTAGCCAATGGCAGATAGATAGATCTCTGAATGAATCTGTGATTCTCTGAGCAACTCAATCTGCCTGCCTGCTTTGCCTGATTTTGGGTAAAAGTTGCTCTTTTTTAAAGTAAAAAAATTCAATATTTATATAAATTTTTATAATATTTACATACAAGCCATGCCCAGCCAGTCACATGACCACCAAGACACACCCACAAATTAGGCCATGCCCACAGAACCAGTTAGTGGTCCCTGGGATCTAAAATTATGAGTTTGGTGGTCCCTGAGGTCCAAATGGTTGGCGACGCCTGCTCCAGAGAGCTATAAACACAGCACAACAAATCATCAGCTGCTCTCTTTCTTTTTTGGAAGAGATTGCGAAGACCAGATTCCTCTCTAGAGCACTAAAAATCTCCACAGACCGTTCTCATCCTGGTCATTCATATTTCGAACAGTTACCATCAGGGAGACGTTATAGGTGTCTTAAAATGAGGACTAATAGACTGAGAAACAGTTTCTTTTCCAAGGCAATAATTGTCTTGAATCAAACAGTGCATTTGTGATTTAGTCCTATGTATGTAGTGGCATTTTTAAACTATTTAACTTACTGAATGTTTTAGACGACTTATTATTATTATTATTATTATTATTATTATTATTATTATTATTATT